GTTGAATAGCTGCTGCATTGAGTGGTGTTGAATAGCTGCTGCATTGAGTGGTGTTGAATAGCTGTTGCATTGAGTGGTGTTGAATAGCTGTTGTATTGAGTGGTGTTGAATAGCTGCTGCATTGAGTGGTGTTGAATAGCTGCTGCATTGAGTGGTGTTGAATAGCTGTTGCATTGAGTGGTGTTGAATAGCTGTTGCATTGAGTGGTGTTGAATAGCTGGAGCAGCTATTCAACACCACTCAATGCAGCAGCTATTCAACACCACTCAATGCAGCAGCTATTCAACACCACTCAATGCAGCAGCTATTCAACACCACTCAATGCAGCAGCTATTCAACACCACTCAATGCAACCACTCAATGCAGCAGCTATTCAACACCACTCAATGCAGCAGCTATTCAACACACCACTCAATGCAACAGCTATTCAACATCACTCAATGCAACAGCTATTCAACATCACTCAATGCTGTTGAATAGCTGTTCTAAATTAAAGACGAGTAGAGCAGATAGCCCTCGAGTAACTTTTCGCAAAATTTAACAAGTCATTTTTCTTTTTTACTTCTCATACCATTGTCTGTTGCATTTTGATTTATTAATTTGTTCCTCAACCTTCTGTCAAAGCGTTCTTTGTTGTTGTCTTTTCCTTATACCTTATCTTTTCAAAGGGTGCAGCGTGACCTAATGTCCAGTTCTTTGAGCTCGTAATCTGAAGGTTTCGAGTTCGCGGTTTGCTCGCGACATGTTGTTCTGTCCTTGAGTCTATCAATTTAAAATTATGGACGGTTAGTGTAGACAGTCATTTGTGTAGCTTTGTGCGAATATACGAAACAAACACGCAAACAAACTTTCAATTGCTACGCCTGTTTCTATAGTAATACAGATTTTACAATTAAGCATAGCAGTCACCGAGTATCCACTTTATACACTTTTGTTGTTTGTATCGCCCCTCATGAGTACACCAAATAAATATTTATATTAGTATGCATTTATTCCTTATTGCACCTCGCAATCTGCGGGCCGAGGGTTCGAGTCCCCATCACCAAACATGCTTGTCCTTTCAGCCGTGGGGGCGTTATACAGTGACGGCCAGGCCCATTGTTAGTAGAAGATTAGCCAAAAAAGTTGGCGGTGGGTGGTATTGAATAGCTGCCTTCCCTTTAGTCTATCACTGGAGATAGTTCTCGAGTAGCTTTGCGCGAAATTCAAAACAATCCAATCCTTATTGGAGTTATAGGAGAAAAAAACTGATTTCATATTTTTTCACAATAAATTGATTTTTGTTCCTTGTAAAACCCCCCACCCCCAGTGGCATAGCGGTATGTCTGCAGACTTACAACGCTAGAAACCGGATTTCGATCCCCGTGGTGGGCAGAGCATAGATAGCCCATTGTGTAGCTTTGTGCTTACAAACAAACAACTCATTGTAATATCTTGAGGCCTCGCAAACAAACAACTCATTGTAATATCTTGAGGACTCGCAAACAAACAACTCATTGTAATATCTTGAGGACTCGCAAGCAAACAACTCATTGTAATATCTTGAGGACTCGCAAACAAACAACTCATTGTAATATCTTGAGGACTCGCAAGCAAACAACTCATTGTAATATCTTGAGGACTCGCAAACAAACAACTCATTGTAATATCTTGAGGACTCGCAAACAAACAACTCATTGTAATATCTTGAGGACTCGCCGAGTTTTCCAATTACTCCTAAAAATCGATTTCTAACATTCAGAAAGTTTTTTTTTTTTTGGGGGGGGTAGAATTTCCTAGCAAGTCTAGGCTATGTGGGCATAACTATCCCTAACCTCTACCTCTAATTTTGAATTGATAGTACACATAGTACCATCGCCATTTCTTGGGACTTCTGAATTGATAAACTACACGGAAAGAAACTGACACATAGTACCATCACCATTTCTTGGGACTTCTGAATTGATAAACTACAC